AAAAAAATATATCTCTTTGGATTTGAGACTTTAGTCTTTGCAACTTTACAGATCTTCTTTATGCACCAAGAGCTTGTGAGACTCCAAAGAGGAAGGAAAAAATTGAAATCGCATCATATGACCCCTTTAATATCATGTTATCTAACGCATTTGACAACTGACAATATCACATTTAAAAACAACTGCTTAATTCCCAACCAAACAACATAAAGGGAAAGAAACAGATGGTCTAAACACAACAACAGCGTGCCTTACCTTGAGACGTGATGTTTCCAATGTAAACAACCAGAAGAAGTTATTTATTTTCTTCCCAAATGCCTCTCAGCTGTCGGACACAAACCCCCATTGGCAGGGTCAAAACTGTGCACACCCCAAAAAAAGGTAGCAGGTGTCACAGAAAACAAGGTAATCCCGTGGATAATGGTGTGAAAGGTGTTTACTGTGAGAGCGCGTGTGCTTGGAGGTTTGGCGGCCGCTTTGGAGGACAGCCACGCAGTAGTTTATCTCCAACTCTGCAAAAAGAGCGCGAGGGGAAAAACTGAGGTCACACCTTCCCACCACAGCAGATGCTGGAGTGCTGACCACGTGCTCCCTCCCGGGCAAACGCGCGCAAGTTTCCAAGGTGAAAAGAGGAAGTGCAATGAATCAGTGGATTTTTTAAAAACATTCAATCAGAGCTATTACCTTTATGGTGAAACAAAACACAAAAATACAGCTAACGTCAAAAATGCGTTTATTGTCATTTTTGGTAGGATGTGAAACAAAAAGAAATGTGAAACAGAGACGCCAGGTGTCGCGGTGCAGAACATAGAAGTAGATTAAAACTAAACACTGTCTGTGACGCAGTAAGAATAAATACAAATGAATGAATTTTAATACAATTATTTATGTTATTAATACGTCACAGACCAACCTAGAAAAATGTAAGCAAACACTGGAAACTCTGGTGGGCATCTGCGTATTGCTACCTGCCAAGAGGCCAGTGTCTCTCCTGGGTATCTTAGCAACAGGTGCTTGTGAAAAAAGTACAGAGAGCACACACACACACACACACACACACACACACACTCCAGTATGCGACAGACACAGCAGCTGCAACAATCCTGACAGTCACAATCACTTTTACAACACTGCTGCCAAAGTTGCCAAAGTGCTTACCACTTATTTTACACACACACACACACACACACACACACACACACTCATACACACGCACAGAAGAAGGGAAAACAGTTGGAAAGCAGCATGCTATGCCACCAATAAAATATTCTTATCCCCAAAGTATTAAAAAAAACAAACAAAAAAAAAAAAAAACCCGGCCGTGAAGTTAGTACTGACAGGTGTATTTTTCTGCCTGCAGGTTGCGTGGGAGTTTTTGTTCGAACGTCTAAACAACACACAATGTGCTTCTCCTGAGGTGGGATCCTTATTGTTTGAATATATAAATGCAAATACATGAATCTCAATGAACATGATTTTACCTTTATGATCAGGGCAGGTATAGGCCTATAGAATGGGATGCAATACAATGTACAAAATTACATTTCAAACCAAAACTTCTATTCATCAAAGATTCCTGATAACAATGTACAGCACGGTTTTCAAGACTGATACAAAGATAAGAAATGTTTCTCGAGATCCAAATCAGCATATTAGAATGATTTTTGAAGGATCATGTGACACTGAAGACCGGAGTAATAATGCTAAAAATTCAGTCTTGCCATCACAGGAATAAATTACATTTTAAAATATATTAAAATAAAAAACTAACCGTAATATTTCATGTCAATGCAGCTTTGATGAGCATAAGATTTCTTTCAAAACATTAAATAGTTTTACACGTGTTTTTTTTTTAAGCTGTGGTTTTGAATGTTTATTAATATATGTGTGATTGTTGTGAATTTTATTACCCAAACAACCTTTCAATTTAAAAGTATTTTAGCTATTGTAAAAAACAAGTGAACACAATAAAACCACACTGGAATACATTCAGCTAAAAGTCTAAATTGATTATGAAAGCAGACTTTAAATGGAAAGTTAAAGTAAGGGTAGTTTTTTTTTTCATGAATTTCTATTGTGGAGAATGTTTTAATGCTTAAAACATATTAAAAACCATATCTGTTGACCACAAGAACTGACTGATATTTTGAGTATAACGCCATTACATATTTCTTGATGAATTGTTTTGTGTTATAGTTTTATTGTTTACATTTGAATATCTGTTTCAACATGCCTGAACAATTAACTTTTTTTTTTTTTCTGGCAATAACAAATGTCAATAGCTGTTTTCAGTCAAAACTTTTAAATTATGTCTTTACAGAAACTATGGGAAATAAAAATAAAAGTGTGACAAATGCACAGTTCTAACAATAAATTGCTTGATTAATGATTATTCATCTGATAAAGTAGAAAGTAAATGATGAAATGTCAGCCTTGCGTTCCTCAGGTAAACTGGCTGTGGCAGCAATCAAATCCATTATTGACAGAAAATACAATTAGTTACACCCAGTAACGTCAACAGAATAGAGTGCATCCGTCATGCCCTCCACACAAATCCATCCACTTCAATTTCTGACATGTTCTATAGCAAACCGAGAATATCTTGCTTTCCATTTTCCACTAATGGATGTTACATTGTTTTATTATTAACCTTGATCTGTAAGATTAGAGTCAAATAACAATTTTAGATTAAATTAAATGTTATCATGAAGCAAGAAAAAACTGAACCATGAAATTGTTCTTTATTAAGAAAAAACACCAACGACAAAGTCAGTTTTCTCAGATTTTATTCAGCAAAGCATGTGCCTACAATATCTTACAAACAGAACAAAAACAGAGGGATTGTTCTCATACAAACAGGTCAGCAGGTAGAACATTTACAATCATGCATCATGACGAGTCGAAGGGCTCGCGACGCCTCTCACCAACACGAGGAATCCAGCGAGAGTTTGCGCCGCAAGTTCAGACAAGAAAAGGACCTTCTACCACTTACAAATACACTTCACTCAAATGCTACGAGCCCAAAGGAAGGACGAGGGGGAAGATCAATATGATCTGAGCATCAGGTAGCATCCATGGAATTCGTTGTCATTGTCCTCCAGCAGCACTGAAAGGCCAACTTTAATAAGCGCAGAAATTATGCATTATGAAGCAGAATGCTCTCGCTATCAGAAAGGCTCCTACAGCCATCAGAACGGTTTGAACTCATCTCACGATCCCAAAAAGAAACTAGACGTGAGCAAAGGTCTCAAAAAAGCACAAACGCATCAGTCGAACGTACAAATAAACGTCCCAAATGCAAGATATTGCTATTCAAAAGAGGTTTCAAAGCATCATATAGCATTTTTTTTTTCGAACTCGAAAATCTATCAAACTAGTTATTGTAGGATGGATTTGGCGAGTAAAACAAACAAGTCTTTGCTCTTATGCATCAACAGAAAAAGCACAAATGAATTCCACTCTTTCCCAACTGCAAAACTACAGTTTTGACTCCGAACTGGATATGAAGTGGGGAGGAAGTCAGTGTGAGCAGTACATGCTCAAAATGAATACAGCAGGTTGAACCAAAGGAGGAAACGGGTCAAAGACAGTGTGGCGAACATGGGTGAGACAGTGCAAAGGCACATTAGTGGTTGGATGCTTGTTTATTATGGGCTTTAATATAGGGCGAAAGAAGGGGAGTGCTGATGAACCGTGATTGATGCAGCGGGCTGTAATTAAGCAAGGCATGATGGGAAAATGGGTTTGTCGATAAAGAGCAGTGAAACTTTGTAGGTGGAGAGGACAAAGTTGCTTAAAAGCCTGAACTAGACAGAATGGAGGAGGAAAGCACTCTCTCGTAATACGTCTCATGCGATATGACGTATGATATGCATTTCATTGGGTGGAAATGAAAACCTAATGACAATAAGAATAACTAAATAAGGTTTGGAAGGCAAAAAGACAGGTCAGATATTGCACTAAAATTAAAACGAAACAGAGGCATTGCTTAAGTATCAAATGAGGCATGAAACGAAACAATAAAAAGGCAAGAAACACAATGGATGAAGGTAGAAATAAATGGTTTTGTAAAAAACAAAACTGGAAAGTAATGTGATTACAAAAAAATATCTACAATAATGATTTACATTTTTTAAACAACAATGTTAAATGTACAAGAGATTGATGCTGCATTACTGCTGTTAATTTGCTGATTTTACAAATATATTCATTTGAAGTGTCCAGAAACAGAGACGTGAAGCCCAAAGCCATTAATCATTGCATTCATTTAGATTTCAACACACAAGTCCATCGATCCAAGAACAGGCATTTTATCTCGACTCGCTAACATGGTGACATTCTGAGTAAGATGTTTGTGTTTTTATTTGCTTTTAAAAGGAATTTATTCAAGCGCTGTGCCAACTTCCACTTGGGCATCTCATTTAGACATGTTCACAATAAAACCAGCGTGGGTTCGATGATAAAAGAAGCGTGTCGTACAGAAGCCTGCTGTCATCTCTAGTGGAACTCGTCCAAAGATCATGACCAGCAGGTTGATCATGGTACATGGCAGAGATCCATGCATCTGCCCATCCTCAAAGAGGAATCAAAAGAAATGCCACTGCAGAATCTGCAATGGACACATATGAAAGGGTCGGTTAAGACAAAGACACAAGAGGAATGACAAGGCAAAGGTCACCTCCAGAGAAATCAAATGTCATAGAAAGTGATCTGATCAAGAACGCAAAGATCAAGAACGCAAAGGGATCGGATTTAGTGGAGGTGATATTCCCCATCGGAACATTTCAAGCCAAACACTGTCCTCTGTTGATACTGGATATACTGAACATTGACAGGATGGCACAGGGTGCAGGGGGAAGCTCAGGCAGACTGCTTCTGTACTGAATTTAAGAGTCCTATCATTATTTACACAGTAGATACAGGCACTTAAAAGTCTTTGGTTGGAGTGACCCAACATTGCAGAGTAATGCATTCACAGAGCTTCTTTTTTTTTTTTTGCACCCTTCTCTTGGGTTCAGTAGGCAACATGTAGTTTTCTCCCTTCCCTTTCCAATATGCTTCGGTTCAGATTTTCACCTTCAACCCCATTTATCCCGCAGACAAGGCCACCTGTGAAATAAACAGGCACTTTTAGCATTCAACTAGTATACATGTTTGTTGGGAGCTGGATGACGACATCAAAATGTCAGCAACGGCACAACTTCTCTATCACACAGATCTCATATACCAAGTTGTACCTTTTCTGGACAGAAATCTGGGTTGTTCTGTCGAACTTTGCCAGGCCTGCCCTTGATGACTGCATAGCAGAACATTGTGATGACCATCACAAACAGGAAGTAGCTGGTGTGCATGAGGTGCAGGTTAATGAGAGAGCGATCGTCCTATCAGGAAAGAGAGCGCACTCTTGAATTATAGTGAGAATTTGACAACCTGCACAACACAACTTGCCTCTTTGTTAAAATGTACAAAAAAATAATAACAATATAGTTCATATTCTGTATAGTAATTCAAAGTGATAAAAAGTGAATATTTGTGAACATTACCCATATGGTTACAGATGATTTTTTATTTTTTTTTTACTGGCATCAGTCTGATTAGGGTGATACAGTAAAAATGATATCACTTTTTAATACAGGTATATTATAATGTGAATACTGTATTTAAAAAAGTATATATTTACATATCACTATAAAATAAAATAAAAAATAAAATTCACCAACACTTCACAAAAACTCACCAACACTTTGCTAGTGTGTTGTGGATGGTTCACACAAAATCACTATATGGTTACTAAGATGTTCTGAGGCCCTGTTTACACCTCCGTGAAGTTGGCACCCCATAAAAAGAAAATTATTATTAAACTATTATTATTATTATTATTAAACCAGCACAAATCGAGCACAAACGAATGGCACCGTTTTGGAACGATTTAGATTGCATGGGGTGGAGAGTGATGTCACTGTTCGTAAAAAGTTTATTTTTATTATATAAAAGAAGCGGTCATAGATACAGGGTTTCTTCTAACGGCACAAACCAGCACAAATCGAGCACAAACGAATGGCACCGGTTTGGAGAGATTTGAACGGCATGGGGTGGAGAGTGACGTCACTGCCCAGAATTGTTTTTGTTATTTCTATGAAGGGGAAATATATTTGACGTTCATTTCAACAGCACAAACCGAGCACAAACAAATGACACCAGTTTTGTGCGATTTAGACGAACTGGGGTGGAGAGTGACGTCACAGCTCCCGAAAATAGTTTGGTTCTAAGGAAGGAAAATAGATGTTGTTTGTTTTAACGGCACAAACGGTCACTGCCTCAAATTCTGTTTGTTATTTCTAAGAAGGGGAAATATATTTGATGTTCATTTCAATGGCACAAATCAGCACTATTCGAGCACAAACGAATGACACCGGTTTTGTGCGATTTAGACGAACTGGGGTAGAGAGTAACGTCACAGCTCCTGAAAACATTTTGGTTATATCTAAGGAAGTAAAATAGATACAGCGTTTGTTTTAACGGCACAAACCCAGCACAAACGAACTGCGCTGATTTGGAGCGATTTGGGCAACATGAGGTGGAGAGTGACGTCACACGGTCAAAAAAATAATGTTTAATATCTCAAACACCAAACCAGCACAAATGTTCGTTTTTGCGGCACAAATCAACACAAACGTAGCACACACGAATGGCATAGTTTTGGTGATTATTTCTTTTTATGGGGTGCCAACTTCACGGAGGTCCTGTTTACTGGTATTATAATGAGTTTTCATTGATCCAATCACAAGTGGACAAGGTTAACTCTTTCCCCACCACTGACGGGATTTGTCATCATTTCGTCACGAGAGTGCTTCCCTCGCCATTTACAGAATTTTCTGGCTTTCCGTGTTTTCACTGTTATACTGTAGGAGGCGCTATTACACATTTTCTAAAAGAGTACTGAATGTCTGGATCAAAACTAGGTGAAGAAGCAGCAGAAACTATCACATATATGTGCCTGGACCACAAAGCCAATCTTAAGTCGCTGGGGTTTATTTGTAGCAATAGCCAAAAATACATTGTATGGGTCAAAATTATTGATTTTTCTTTTATGCCAAAAATCATTAGGATATCAAGTAAAGATCATGTTCCATCAAGATATTTTGTTAATTTCCTACTGTAAATATATCAAAACTTAATTTTTGATTAATAATATGCATTGCTAAGAACTTCATTTGGACAACCTTAAAGGCAATTTTCTCAATATTTTGATTTTTTTTGCACTCTCAGATTCCAGATTTTCAAATAGTTGTATCTCGGCCAAATATTGCCCTATCCTAACAAACCATACAACATCTGAAAGCTAAATAAATAAGCTTTCCATTGATGTATAAATCTCAATTTCGAAAAATTGACCCTTATGACTGGTTTTGTGGTCCAGGGTCACATATGTAAGCAGTAAATTATTAAACATTACAATTTCCCCCAATCTGGACTAAGTTACAGATGTTCTCTCACTTAAACAACTCTCAAAATAAAGTGCCCTG